CTACGTGACACATTCAGTTGGACAGTCTGGGCTAAATATCAAGCCAACTCTTTTACAACTGTTTGTTCAATACTGTGTATGGGAAATGGGTTATTTTATTAGACATGCCTTCCTATAAATTTTTTTAAATTTCCACATAAAATGTCTCCATGTCAAAAATTTCTAAAGTATCTATTAGAATTATATGACTAGAAGTGATATGCCGAAACAGAAAAGAGAGGGATGAAGGATTCCTCTCACTGGTACAAAGAGAAGCACCTGTTCTCATCGCTGCCTGTGAAACGTGCTCTGAAGAAATAGCACCTGACCCCAGAGGAGGACAGACGGAAGTGTGTTTGGGGAAGACAACTCGAAGTTGGTGTCAGAGAAATTGATATTGACCAAATTTATGACTTTTATCCTCCTTATCTCAAAAGTCTCTCTCTCTCAAGTCTAAAATGTTAGGCTAAAACCAACAGTCAACAAATATTTCAAATGTTGGTGCATTTTTTCCTATGATAATCAAATACAAAAGAGATGTCTTCCTAACAACAAAAATTGTTCTGCATGTATCAAAGGTAGATATATTTTATTTCAAATGTATCTACTCAGTACAACCTTTGCCATTCACAGGTTGAAGTCCTTGGTTAAGAGGTTAGGATTCCACTCAGACTTTCCAGCAGAGGCAAATGGACTATGTCTTTAGACTCTTCCACTACTCAAAGTCTAGGTGAACCAATTTATTTGAACACCCATTTATTTTATAATTCAGAAGTGGAACCTTAGTTATTTAGATTTTCAAATTTGAGGACTGTAATTATTGTTTTCTGATTAAAATGAGCCAGTACCCATAAATATAATTTAAAACATGTATTTTTATTCTTATATGGTTTAATGATGCACAACTATATTCTGCAGGTTTCTGTTACATACCATCTTTCTGACTCTACGATAACATTTCTTAAAGGTAAAGTATCTTTATGTCCAATAGAAAGATTCTTTTTTGAGAAACAGATGTTAGCTAAATGTATGATGGTTAGGTCCCTGACCTGTAATTTTCTTTTATGTTTCCCTGTTGAGGGAATTTAGCGTTTTTGTATGTAATTCCACAGATTTTTATTTCATTTATTTTATCAAGAAACATAGTTTAAACAGGACATTTTAAAAAATATGTGTTTTTATTGATTATTTAGAAAGAGAAAGAAAGAGAGATAGAAACATAGGTGTGAGAGAGAAACATCAATCAACTGCACGCCCCCTACTGGGGATCAAGCCTGCAACCTGGGCATGTGCCCTGACCATGGTATGATGCTCAGTCCACTGAGCCACATGGGCCAGGCTTTTTTTTCTTTTTTTCCCGTCTAAACAGGAAAGTTTATCATCAATCCTTTCTATAAAAAGCATCTGAGTTTTTGATACCAATAAATGGTGTATCTTTCATGTTCACTTCAAACTCAAATAAAGATGGGTCACTCAGTCTCTTTCATTGACAACTATTAGTATCACTCAAAACAACTGACAACCACAGAAGTCACATATGATGGACAATTATGAGAGGAATAAAAATGAAGGCCCACTGAAGAGAGGAGAAGCTAGGCTTTGTTTCTCTCCCCATCTCTCCTCCTTCCTGGTAATGTGACTGGGGAGGAAGTCCTTTGCACTACCTATTGCTTCCGCCAGGCTCCTCAGGCAAACTGACGCCAAGTGCCAGGGTGTCCACTAGGGGTGGCACTTACTTCTGCTCCTGGCTTCTTAGCTTTAGAGTTTGCATGATGCTAGTGTCAAGCTTGCCAGTGATTGCAGAGTCTTTATTCTGTTTTATTTCCTAGGTTACTAAAGAAGTGGTATCATTTTACAACTTTAAGCAATGCAGGCATGAGTATCAAATGGTTAATACACTCATGATTCTAGAAAAGGAAAAACGTCTGCCTGCCACGTTACAGTCACACCAAACACGCTTCGTATGCCAATTCTGTCAAATGGGAGTGGGGCTGAGGTGTTCTTGACCTTTTCCAAGCCCACAGTTGTGCTATTGTTCACACTCAATGTGGTTTTCTCTTCAGCACAATATTTGCTAATGGGACTTATTTCTACAGTTGCTTAAAAAATTTCTTTTTGAAAAACAGAACTAGTCTATATGTCTATATTGCAGGTGCAGCCTGAGGCAACTGATGATTTTTAGAAGTGTCTTTTTTTTTTTTTCATTTTAGTCACCAAGGTTACCAAAACTACATTGGCAACATTTGTTTCGTGTGAATAGTAATTCCTTAGGAAAATGGAAACAAAACAAAGCACAAAAATTGTTTATGATTAAATCTCAGAATTTAGTGTAGCCACAGAATTTAAAATTCTATTTTTAGAATTTAAATTAGTCTTAGAATTTAAATATTTAAAATATAAATATAGACCTTAGTTATGTTTTTAAGAAGTTTGGTGCTTCTGGATGAATCGAGCTACAAAGATAGAATGATGTGGCAATTAATACTAAATGAATAAATTAAGGATCCAGAGTGAGAGCATCACCTGAAAACACAGGAAACCAAAGTCAAGGAAAAGATGTACAAATGCATTGTAAAACCTACAAAGGGTCAAGTATTATAAAAGTGTGAATTTTTTTTTTAAATCCTTACCCGAGGATATTTTTCCATTTTTTGTTCATATAGAACAGGAGGGAGGGAAGGAGATAGGAAGGAAGGGAGAGAGAGAGAAAGAGAGAGAGAGAGAGAGAAACATCGACATGAAAGGGACACATGGAGTGGCTGCCACCCACATGACCCAACCAGGGCCGGGGACAAACTGCAACCGAGGTATGTGCCCTTAGCAGGAACAGAATCCGGGTCTCTCTGGACTGCAGGTCAACGCTCTAACTGCTGAGCCAAACCGGCCAGGGCAAAAGTGAGAATTTTTATAGTCCTGAGTTCAGTTCACTTTTTATTTAGACTTCATAGTTGCAATTACTCATCCCAAATGACTTTGTATATTTGTAAAATTATATTCGACTTCTTCAATATTATATAGAGAAAGGTTTAAAGACTAGACATAAATGGTAAATATGAAAATTCAAAACGTTACTTAACAGGAAATTTCAATTTGATTTCTATTAATCTTGGATAGAGTTTTGCAAATATAACAAATACTGAACCATAGCAAGAAGCTAATGGGACAATTTATTAAAATATAGATGGACCAAAATCTACTCTTATTTACAAAATGATATTCTAGATAAATATCTAAAGTGATATTTCACTAATTGTTCTCAGTGGTGTTCTACTTTTATTAATGAAAATATTGTAATAAATTTGCTTTTCCTATACTCTTTCTAGTATAGCAATAATGTTTTAGAAGGTAGTTAGCCTATTAGGTTAGCTCCTTTTAGGAATTTTTTAATATTTTTATCTAATGTATATAGTTGACATTTTGGCCATATAAATTTTTAAAAATGAAGTTTTGCCCTGGCCAGTTTGGCTCAGCGGTTAGAGCGTCGGCCTGCGGTCTGGAGAGACCCGGGTTCGGTTCCCGCTAAGGGCACGTGCTTCGGTTGCAGTTTGTCCCCAGCCCTGGTCGGTCGTGCGGGTGGCAGCCACTCGATGTGTCCCTTCACATCGATGTTTCTCTCTCTCTCTCCCTTCCTCTCTCTCCCTCCCATTCGATCTGTACAAAAAATGGAAAAATATCCTCAGGTGAGGATAAAAAAAAAAAAAAAAAATGAAGTTTTAGTTTGTTTCCAAAACTAACAATGTACAATTTTGGTTGTGGTAAAAAAAGAAAATAGTCAAAATGACAGGCATCTAAAGTTAATAAGAAATATAAACAGTTTTCTTGGTAACTCATCATTTAGTGCAATAATGCCCTTGTATATCTGTAATGAGTACTCACTCATTAGTCATACACTCATTCAACAAATAGTTGAATGTTGTACTAAAAGTTGAGACACAACCATAAATAAAACAGAATCAGTACCTGCCCTCAACAGAGTTTTCAATTAAAATGAAAGAGAAAATACAGGTTTGGGCAAAAGTAGGTCTACAGTTGTGAGTATGGGAAACAGAGATTATTCTTGTATTAATTGGTATTTATTAATTATTGCATTAATAATATAATAATCATAAGCCTACGTTTTCCCACTCCTATATATAAGATCCAAAGGAACCAGGCGAAAGAGGTCCAACTAGGGTGGCAAGCTCTCCCTGGTCCGAGTTGAAAGAGGTTCAGAATATCAAGGAGAGTGGACACCAACAGTGCCAGCCCAGAGTGAAGAAAGGCGTCTGGTCTGAGAGCTAAAAGAAAACTAGGGAAAAATCAGGCTGCAAACATAGGGTGGAAACGGATCATGGAAGGCCAATTACAACGAATTCATACTGGGAAACTCGGGTTTATCTTAAAGGAAAACAATGGAAAGTTATTAGAAAGCATATTCCTATGTTATCTATGCAAAAATAAATGGAACCTGAAAATGAGACTCATATTTTAAGAATACACGGGAGCCCTGGCCAGTGTGGCTCAGGTGTTAGTGTGTGGGCCCATGCACCAAGGGTCACCGGTCCGGTTCCCAGTCAAGGGCATGTACCTGAGATGCAGGTCCGATCCCTGGCCCAGGTTGGGGAACATGCGGGAAGCATTCAATTCACATGTCTCTCTAACACTGATTTTTTTCTCTCTTTCTCTCTCTCTCTCTCTCTCTCTCTCTCTCTCTCTCTCTCTCTCTCCCTTCTACTCTCTAAAAATCAGTTAAAAAAAAAAAAAATGTCCTCCAGTGAGGATTAAAAACAAAACAAAACACTGGAAAGAGAAGTTGTGAAACTGAATTATAAAGAATAAATATTGGTTTCAGAAGCATAGAAATAATCTACACTCTTTTAAATACCAGCATAAATCCTTTTCAATACCCTCTATGTGTTTCTTCTTTAAAATAAAAATGCTATATGGGTGATCTCATTTCTTGGTGTGGCAGAAATGTTAAATTGCCTAATTTAATGCCATGCCCTCCACCCACTCCCAGGTGAAAAATCAGTGCTACTTACTACATCCAGCCTTGTAGCTGAAGCCTGGAGGAAGGAGGAATCCTTGCTGCGCAGCTGCGGCCAGTGTCCGCTGATCAGGAGGGAACACGGGAATCATTAATGGCGGTAGTTGACCTTGAACCTGCTGAACATGATAAAGTGGATCAAAGAGAAGAAGTGTTGGTGCTCCATGCTTCCCACCCCCCCTTACTTTATGATAAAAGAAAATCATTTATTCAATTCAATATACTGGCATACAAGCATATTAACACTGGGCTTGAAGTCATGCTTTGGGACTACCTTAAGAGAATCAAAATATACTATAGTTGAAAGGTGTTATCAAGTTCACTTTCTAACCTGATGAATAATTTCCCTACATGATAGTCTTGAGAGTGATGAGGCATCACTGCTTCATACAATAAGCCTTCTTCTCACTGCATTAATATAATGGTTCAAAAATTATGTCTTAGGTTGAACTAACATCTCTTTATGTAGATCCCATCTGTTAGCAATAATTATATTTTCTAAAAAAAAAAAAAAAAAAAATCAACTCAACTAGTATCATTTTACATGTGACCAGCTCTTCGTTAATTCTCATGACACATAATATTGAAAATTTATAATTCTTGAATAAAATATCTGGAAGAAAGCCTAGAGAATAAGCAAGCCTTTCCCCTTTCTTTATTAAAGAGGTAATTGGGGCCAAAAGACAGCTTCATTGGCCATGGCCATTGAATGGGCCAGTCAAAACTAGGTCTAGAATCTAGTCCCTTGAATCCTGCTCTGTCCTATACTTTTCTCTTCATTTATCATTTTTCAATCTTTAAACCATTACTGAAATGACACAGCTTCTGCTTTGGTTACCATCTTTGGACTACGCCTTAACTAGCTGGTAGAACTCTCAGGATATAGATTTCACATCAGCAAATACATAATATAGCACAATGGAATAACTATCATCTTTGAACTGAACAAGAATTTCCAGAAATCTAACTTAATGCTGTCATTTCTGCAGCTATGGCATATTAATGACTAATGCAGAGGTCGTCATTAATGAAAGTACCTAGGATATTTTTTTCCAAATATTTAAGCAAGATCTCCCTGGTGAACATGATTATTGCTTAATATTTGTCACTGAAAATGTGAATGAAAATTTAGGATCATGCTGAAAGTCACATATCTGACCCTTTATTTTCACTGACTACTCCACATTAATTCAGTTACTTGGAAAATATTTGATAAACACCTACTACCCAGAAGAAAATGAGCTAGGCAGTAGCGATACAATAGTGAACAAGAAAATCAAGATCCTATGCCCATGGAGCTTACATTACAGTGAGAAGAATAGTAAAAAGTAAAACAAATGTACAAAAAAAAATGACAAATTCATTCATTCGCTTAATGCAACAGCGACTATGGGCTCTCTCTCAGACTCGTTTCCCTGTCTCTCATATTACTGCACATTCATAGGAAGGTTATGATTCTTATAGTTTATCACTTTAAAAGTCCACCTTCCATTTCTCCTTCATCTTTCACAGTGAACCTCTGAGCTTTTTCTGAGAGTTGGGTTGGTGCGTGTCCTTCTGGGGGTGGCAAGTGAGAGAGAGAGAGGGAGGAATGGAAGGAAGAAGCTGGGGAGAGCATGGGAGGAGCGTAAGGAGGGAGAGAGGAAGAGAGAAACGAGCACTAGAGGAATGAGAAATCTGTTTTCAGCAATGACTCCAACCTAGAAAGCATTTCTTTTCGCCAGCAGAATTTTAAACCTACCGCTTTCATACCTTTGTTAGTAAAACCAAAAGAGAATGACAACAGCCAGGAAAAGAAAGTGTCTTATGGTTAGAACTGAAGGTTATACCACTACAACCAGCCTTTTTCTTTTTTTAATATTCTGGAGAAAAGATAAACCTTATGTAGAAACCAATGAAAAACAATGGATTAAATACTCAAAACAATGAGATATTGCATATTGAGCAAATATGTAGGAATCTGTGGCCTACATCAAGAGGTAGACATTGGAAGGCAAACAGGATGGGGGCTGGCTCAGTGCCAGCAGAGGATGCTGACCAGAGTAACACACAGAGGCAAACAATAAACCAGCCACACTGGTTAAGGCGCATCATCACCAGCTACTGCATTTCCTTTATATTTCATTGTAAGTAAGTTATATTTTATATAGGATTTCCTTTCCTTTCTAAGACAACATTGGTTATAAGCTATATCACAAATGTATTTTTTTGAATTTTTTTTTCTTTATTGATTTTAGAGAGAGAGAGGAAGGGAGAGGGAGAGAGAAGGTAGAAACATCGATGAGAAAGAACATTGATTGGCTGCCTTCTGCATGCCCTCCACTGGGGATCAGTCCCACAACCTGGGCATGTGCCCTGACTGGGAATTGAACAGGCGACCTCTTGGTGCATGGACTGATGCTCAACCACTGAATTACACTGGCCAGGCTGTGTCATAAATTTAAAAAGAGAATTATAGAGGGAAGAAGAAAGAAACTTAAAATGAAACACATACACATTTGAAAAAAAACAAACTACTAGAATTGCAGAGACAACAGGTTTTGTTTCAGTGCAATAGTTCTCAAACCTGAATGTATAGTAGTATCACCAGGCAAGCTCTGAAAAAGTCTCCTTGCTCAGACTGCTTCCCAGACCAATTAAATCTGAATCAGAAGTGTGACCCAGCCATCAGCATTTTTTAAAGATCCCCTGATGACTTCAATGTGCATCCAGGCTTGAGAAGGCCTGTCTTAAAGAATGCTTTCAGTCGCTGTCAACTCGTCTTTTTGTCTTCTTCATTTCTGCCTTGAGTTACAAAGCACCTTCACATGTAGAGGGGGTTGAAAGTGAGACTCCGCCTGACTTTCACCAACGTTCTGGTGCCCACAGGATACAATCAGAGACTAAGCTATATTCCTCAAAGAATTCTTCTGAATGAGTCTTCTTTCTGTATTTTACATGCCCTTCTTGCAAAAAACAAAAACAAAAACAAAACCTTTTGATGGTTTGCTTTCACCTAGAAAATAATGACCAGATCCCTCAGCCTGGTATTCAAGTTTCTTCACAAGCTGCCCGCCATCCATCTTCCCAGGCGTTAGCTGCCCTCCTCAGATACGCTGTGCTCTTGCCTCAGTGGGTTAGGAAGAGTTCCTAGGATACTCGGTGTTTTTCCATGCTTGAATGCGTTCAAAAATAATTTCTTCTCAGTTTTGAGTGATTTCTCTTTTCCTGTTCTTCTTGGCAAAATTCTACTTATTTTTCAAAGATTTTTGAGACCTACATAATGTCGTTGCCTGTGAAGCACTTCTTTCTTATGGTGCCAATTTCAGGCAGAAAGAACTGTTACTTCTTTTAACCTCATAAAGCTAATGTAACACTGTATTGAATAATTGTTGCTTGTATAATGTGAGTTTCTCTTATGAACTTAATAAGGAAAGAGAGTGTAACTTTATTATTGTACTTTCAGAGCTCCGAACAACAGGTGAAACTAGTATATGTATTGACAATTCATAAATAAAGAAGAATAATAAATTATATAGTTCCATCTTTCTAATTATATCTTCATGAACCAACCTCAAATATCCAAAAAAAAGGCACGTGGACAAAAAAGTTATTTAATGATCACAAAAGAATTCAATTTCACTAAGAAGAATAAAGTACCAAATATTTTGTGCTCCTATTTTTAAGCTATAGCAAAATGGTCTTATACATTATGATATATCCATGACTCCTATAATTGCACATGCAAAAAGAAATAAGGTAATCCAGAAATATTAGAAATGTATTACATAGTTATGTAATGAACAGCTATTCCTGCCTATTATGCTCTAATAACATGATGTTTTAATTATTATAGCTTTGCAGTATGTTTTAATAAAAGCTAGTACTCTATCATTGCTATTTACTTTTTCAAATATATCCTGGCCTTTTTGGCATTTATTTTTCCACATTAATTTTAGGATATAAAATTTTTATTTGAATTCATTAACCTAATGGCTTGATGGCTAATAGTAGGTTATATCTTTCACCTTATTCAAATCTTCTTTTGCTTCATATAGCTCTTATAGTCTTCTAGGTGATTATATTTTAAGGTTTTTTTAAAAACTATTTTTATTGCTATTATAAAGTAAATGTTTTCTTGTTATATTGTTTAACTGGTTGTTGTGTGTACATAAGCCTATCTATTTGTGTATGACAGTTTTTTATCAGGTAATCCATTTATAGTCTAATAATTTACAATATTTTTTTAGCTAAAATTTTTGGTATTTTTAAAGACTAAACTGCAATAAATTTCAGGGCTTTTAAAATATGTGAATTCTTAACTTTTGTCTTATTATAATTGTTGAAATACACTTTGCTTTAGTATTATAATTTGCTTTAAGGTATACATTTTCCAAGATCCACATATATAGAATAATAGAGTTTTAAGGTAGAGAAAGATACTAGAGATTATCTGGCACAAAACAATCATCGTGCTAATAAGGACATAAGACTTAGCTTGGCCATATAAATTGTTTAAGATCCCACATTTAGGTAAGAGCAAAGTTAACACTGAAACTACATCTTCTAATGTTTAATCTAGGACTCTTTCTCACAATGGAAAATGTAGAAGGGGAGGGGTTGGGCAGAAGGACCTACAAGGGACAAAGGAATTAAAACAAAATAAGCCTAATTTCTTAGTCCCAACACTGGATTTTCTTTACAACATCATAGAACAGATTATAGGGCATTGTACTAATATTGAGATTAAAGTAAAGAGTAAAATAAACATAATCTTAAATGTGTGGTTCAATCACATATGCAACTAGAAACACATGTCAAATATAGTCTATCTCACTCTCTGCAGATTTTGTATCTGAAAATCTGCCTTTTCATTAAAATTTAATTGTACCCCCCACAAAATTTACTTGTACCTGTGCTTTTGCAGCCACTCACAGGCTTGTACAAAGTAGCAAGGAAACCTATTGGTAATTTCACTATTTAAAATGCATTTAGAATCATTTTTTTTTTTTTTTTTTGCTGTTCTGATTGGGTGTCTTTTGCTTCTTTATAGTCCAAATAGCTGATTTCATACTTGGCTTTATCTACTCTACCATTAATTCCCTGTAAATTATTCTTCATTTGAGTTAGTGGGTCC